CTCCCCCTTCTCTGCATTTTTCATTTTTCTTCCCTTCTCTTTTTTTCTGCAGTTCATTTTTTCCTTCTCCTTTTCTGATCCTTTCCTCTTTCTTCCTTAATTCATTGTCTTTCTCATTTTTCCTTCTTTCTTTCCTTATTACACAATTTATTCTTTGCTCTTTTCTTTCCTTCTCAGTGCTTCCCTTCCTCTTGACCTTCTTCCCTAGCCTTTCTTGTTTGTCTGGTGCGATGGGCTCTGTGAGGGGAGAGGATCAGGCTCGGTCGGTCGCATCCCTCCCCAGCCGGCTGCTCAGGCTTGGAATTGACCTTCTCCTGCCTTCAGTCTTAACTCGGCTTCTCACAAGGGGAAGTGTAGGGCTGCGGCAGCCAGAGGCCAGGCCTTAACAATCGCCATTAGAGGAGAAACGGACTCCAATGGCTCCCTGCAGCGCTGGTTCCAGGGCTCCGGTATCTTCATTTCAATCTCCCCAAAGGAGCCTTGTCCACCAGGCCTATCTTTTGAGAATTAGCTTCATCTTTGTGTTGACTTCCAGAGTTGAACAGTAAAATAGCCTCAATTTGAGCCCACTTGATTTCCCTAAGGCTGCAGTCAGGGGAAATGGAGAAGTGGGGTTCTGTCAGTCCCAGGTGATTCAAGAAGCAGATTCAAGGGCTCACTGGGGGGCTTAGTAGCCCAAGGCCATGTCCACTGGGGCACCTTTGTTCTCTGAGCTCCCAGACTGCAGCCCTGCTGGCCATCCTTCTTCTGTCCGGCAACCACTGCAACCTCTGGGCAAGAGGAATTTCTTTGGCGTTTTGAATTCTGTCTTTCTTCAAACCCATTGTAGACTTAGCGGGAGGCAGGGCTGTGTGTACAGAGACCCTCCCAAATCCCAAATCTGTGGTCTGAATCAAGGTTATGGGCTTCCACTTTATGCAGTGGATTGAGGGTGTGTGTGTGTGTGTGTGTGTGTGAGAGAGAGAGAGAGAGAGAGAGAGAGAGAGAGAGAGAGAGAGAGAGAGAGAGAGAATGTTGCCTGCAGTCAAAAAAGAGGGCATGATGGGGGAGGTCTGGTCCTGCTGACATTGGCAGTCCCCAAAGCTGGGTCCAATGTGGGCCTCAGAAAATATTGACCTCAACTTGTAAGCCTTATTTTGCCTTAGGCAGAGCAAGGCAGCTCCAGATCCCCCCACCAGGACCCCAGAGCCTCTGTCTTCCCAACCTCCCCCAAATCTTGAATTTTCATTCATAGCAAAACCAAAACTTTAAGTTTTAAAAAAAGGGGAGGAGGAATCTTGTAAAACTTTTATGCCAAACAAAGTTATAAAAACTTCCGGGCGATGCCTTTTCCAAAGGTTTATATGAATAATAAAGAGTGTAGTCGCGTGCACAGGGTGCTGTGGGTCCCGGAGAAGGGAGGGTTCAGCAAACAGCAAGATCCAGCCCTGGGGCACCAGAAAACCCCAGGGACTGCCCCCTTGAGGGAATATTGGCCCAGAAACGAATTGCCCTACAGATTCCTGAGAGAATCTGGGAGAGGGAAGGGGTGGTGCCCTTGACTCCCTTGAAGTTCAAAGTTCCTCTTTGCTCTGGAGAGAAAAGTCCTCTCTGCCTTTAGCCCACTCAAGAAATTAGCCCCAGGCAGTCTCCCTGCCTCTGGGTGAGAACTGGCTCCAGGTGTCCCCAAGTCTGTTCACCTTTCAGATATCTGGTCTGCAGCTCGCAGAGCAGAGCTCCCAGCTTCTCCTCTGGGACACCTCACAGCACCCATGGACTTTCTCTCAGAGGCTCCCGGTGGGCTCCTGTGAGCCATCTTCCAAGGGGCCCTGGCATCATCATTTCCCAGCAACCTAGAGTCTGAGTGACAAAGAAACCCCAAACCCAAGGCTGGACGCAACCCACTCCTCTTTTCAAGTTCCCCCAGGTTCCTCCTGCACCCCCAAAACCCATAGTAGGAGGGGGAGGGGCTCAGAGTGCGCTCTCTCAGCCCACACCACTTAATACCCTTGTAAACTCCCACGTGCGCTATAAACTTGGATTTTTACAACCAACATTCCTCCTTAGCTCCAGGAAACTTTGAACTCGGCCTCGGGTTTATTTACTGGGGGTGGGGAGTGGTGGCGGGGAAAGGGGGTTGGGGAGCTGGGAGCTGAGAAAGGCTAGAGAAGGGGGAAATGCGGGGCAAGGGGTAATGGAGCGGGGGTCTGGGGAGTGTTGGGGGTGCCAAGACCCGTCCACTACCGGCTTGTTTACTATTTAGGGCGGAAGCGTTTTCTAACACAGGCCAGACTGGGTCGTTAAGGGCGAAATGAAACTGGGTTTAGAGGCGCGGGGGTGGGGTGGGGGGAACGCTTTATGGCGGCGTCTAGACGGGGATCTTTTGTTCCAGGGCAGCGCTGTGGCTGGAGGGGATTACCCGGAGAAGTTGAGCCCAGAGTGGCCCTGACAAAAGGGTGTTGGACATCCCCAGGGTCCGAAGGTGGGTTTGTTTGGGAGATAGAGACCCCCCCTTTTTTTTTCTTATTTTTAGAGGGTCGCCAAGGGCTGGCAGGTTCCTGGGCCTGGGTCAGAGCAGCTTTGTTTTTCTTTCACTATGACTCCCCCCAACCGACCTTCAGAAATCCCTCCTGGAGTCCGGGACCTTTTCTGGGCTGCACATTGCAGGGAACGTGGTAGTTGAGGACTTAAAATATTTTTCTCCAAAATAGGAGTCTTTGGAGATTAATATCTTGCTTTATAACAGATTTGTTCTACAGAGTTATCTTCATGTTACTTTATTGGAAACGTGGCCAGCAGGCCAATCCTCCTGGATATGACTAGGAGATAAACACCTAGAGAAGTCTCACACTCACGCACACACACTCACACACAGAGGGTCCTCAGCTGCCAGTAGTTACACACCACAGAGGACATAGTGGGCATGTGGTCAGGTTTACTTCATGCTACAGGGAAAGCATGCAAATGCTATTCTTTCTCGTGTGTACCCATAGGCACATTGACTTAAACATGTTTGTGTGTGGGCACACGGGGGAACTGTGTGGCGGCATTGCACATACAGCTTAGTTGGCAAATTTTGTCTCAAAACCACATTTTTAGTTAGAGAGTCAGATACTTAAGCTGCAGGGATTCCAGTTATCAAAAAAGGACGATAGAGACCGGAAGCAATAGTCCATTGTCCTGGCACTTTTATCTTTCCTTCAACAGAATTGCATTGACAGAAACATTTTCTTTGAATTGCATAAGAGCAGTTCCAAAGAGGGGGAAAGATAGGAGAATTGGCCTCCAATATCTGACCCCAAATAAGGAATGAATTTGTATTTAGATGGCCAGAGTGCCCTCACTGAAAGTGCAGCGTGGAGAGGCCTACGGTTATCTTTATGCAGAAAAACGTGCATAGGCGTGGCCCACTGTTCTCTCAGGTCATCTTCACCAGTGTCGCACCCCAAGCCAACCTGTTAGAAAAGGAGTCTCTGGGGCCTTCTCCTGGGGACACCAAGTGTATACACATTATGGTGGCCCCAGCCTAAGGTATTGTTGTGTCTGGAGGAGCCTGGCCATTTGTGCTTCAGGGGAAGGGCCCAGTCCCCCCTTCCCACCCTCAGGGGCAGCTAAGGTGAGGAAAGGAAGAGGGCTGGTTTCTCCTCCTCTCCCCTCTCTCCTTCAAAATTGTATATAAAAAATCCAATACAGTCTTCTGAGAGAGAGAGAGAGAGAGGGAGCGCCCTATCCTCAACCCTGCACATTTAACTGCAACAGACGGAGACATCTGGCAGGAGGGCAGTGGAGCCAAGAAAATTCCTATAAATTTAAATTTGATGATGGTTACAATTAACTCCACAACAAACGTGTACTTAACCGGAAAGCATTGCTGGGCATTTGGACGCAGCTTGGGCTGCACGTGAGAAAAGAGAGCTTTAAGAGGAGCCACGGAATATTCTCCGCTTGAGATGGGGAGGAAGCTACCGCCACACTCAGGCCCCTGCCCTGGGCGAGGGGGTGGGGTGCAGGCCCACCAGCCCTGGCCTACCTCACCTTCACAGCCTGTCCACACCACCAGGGCTCTGCCCGCCTGCCTCTGCCTCCACCTTGGGAGCATTGAGGGTTTTAAGAGGAGAGAGGCTAATAAAAGGGTCAAATAAAATCATAATATTGAACAGAATGAAATATCTTTATTTGCCACCATAAGAATTTCACAACAATCCCTCTGGGACAGAAGCAGGGTGGGGATTGCACATGTACACACACTCACGCACATGGAGAGAGGTGGGTGATTTGAATCTCATTCCAGGCGAGTCCTCCCCCTGACCCCTCAGGGTAGAAAGAAATGCTTGTGAAATTTATTTACAAAAATCCAGGCCCCAGCATGGGGGAGGTGCCCAGTCCCATCTCCCTGCTGCTTCACCCACACCAATCTTTTTTTCCTTAATAAAAAGGGGGGGGGCAACAACGGCATAGACTATAGCTATAAACCCCTGGAGTGGGGCACGACGTGGAAAAAAGGTTGGGAAACCTCAGTGCACCCGTTAAGAAATGTCAAAGGAGGGCTCTACACATTCACAGGGAGAACAGCTAGGCTCGGGCGGGGCCTGGGCGCAGACGGAGGTAGGACACGGACTTTGCACACCTAACACCAGGTCGAAGGTACGGAAATTCACAGCAAGGCAGGATCACATTCGGCTGCCCCCGAGCAGGGGGGCAGGGGGGCAGGGGCCGGTCGCCCCAGCAGTCTC